AAGTGAGGCGAGACAGACCAAGTAAAGAAATAAATATGAGGTGAAGCACAGCAAATAAAAGCTGAGCGACAGAATAAAAGAGACAAAAGAAGAAATAAAATATCTTTATGTGTGTATCAGTACTAAATCCTAAAACTTGACACATGTATTTTTATAAAAAGCTGTCCTCCTCTCACCTTTAACACAAACTCCTCTACGAATGTGTGTTTTAATCTTTGTTGTAGTTATATCTCTGGAAACAGGCAGGTGTTTAAGACTGAACAGTACGCAGGTGTTTTCAGTGGAAAACCAGTCGATGGCGTCTTCAACACATTTCTGTTCAGGTGAGCTCCGAAGCCTCTCAGAAGTGATGCTTTTAGACAACAACACAAATCTTTACACTACAATGGTTCATGCTCTACATTAAAATGTCTGGGCAGACTTTAGATCAAGGTCTGAGTGTGCCGGATGCTCCGAGTGCCTTGAAAATGCAACTTTCCCTTTAAGACTGACTAGCAGATGAAGCCACTCCAGATTTGAGTGCTCAAATGTGTGGCGAGCAGACTAGCGCAGCACGAAAATGGCTCATTTATACACATGCACACTCACATTTACTCCAAGACCCTGCTGGGCCGAGGGAAGCTGAAGACCATGATGTCATGACACAAACAATAGCTCATTCAGCTTGGAGCTGGCGGGCCAGGAAGCAAGGCCATGCTTAAAGAACAACATCTGCGCACCAGGGTGACGGAGAGGAAACTCAGAGCAGAGAGACATCCAGAACTCTGCAGTCGTCCTGTTTGACCTCGTACACTGCACACGAGGACCTGGCAACAAATGCTGGCAGTCAGCTGAGCAGGTCACCTCAGAGGACTCTGTAAGGCACTCCTGTCTGTTTGTAGCTGTAGAAACTGTGTAAAGACCAAGCACAGAGACCTGCTGCCATGGCTCACAGACAGCTACAGTTTCCTCATGTGGTTCTTGTTACCCCACACCTCCCGTTGGCAACGCACTGTCTTCTTCAGCTTCTTTAGAGCTACCAGACTATTTCATGGTAGAAAGTAACGGCAGCTCTTAATCTATCCCTGCGGTCCCAAAGGGTCCCTGCAAATGATGGTCAGAGTCTTTAGAGCGATGACCATCTCACAGATATGAAATCAGTCTCCTGGTCAGTTAAATTGTGTAGATTTACAAAACGTTCTGAGACCAACAACTTCTGAGTTCAGCTGTAATCATCTTACTTGAACTGAATCCATAAAAGCCACAACCCCCCCCCCCCAACCTTTTGTCCAAATTGTTGTCTGATGATTGGTCTTTGTACAGATGGAAGCCTTCTGTTGTGCAGCCACGTTTGCTTTTTCCAAATCACAAGAAGTTTTAAATTACTGGTTAGTTGTAGTTTGGTAAGGTTTCAAATTTAAGCAAATGATTCCATTTAAAATGGAGGGCAGTCTCCAACACTCCTCCCCCTTCTCCCTTCTCCAAGCACCAGCAGAGGGTTTTATTTGCTGATGCCACCTGCTGGTGGAGCCAAGGCCACGGAGGTTAATTACACTTCAGTGTGAAGCTTCAGCCTCCAGAGTGCCATCAATGAGCTAAAAATTCCTCTGTTTAAAACTGCCTTTGAAAAACCAAACATAACGTTTGTCTGTTTTTAATATAAAGCTGTCATTTTTAATGACCATTTGGAAGAAAAAAACACTTTTGAGAGTAACAACAGCACGATCACATGACCCCCGAGGCCAGTATCCAATTATAGCTGTTTTGTCCTGTTCAGGGCTGCAGGCGAGCTGGACCTGTGTTCATTTAATGAAAGGCAGGACTTGAATCCTGGACTGGGACCATCATGTGAGAACGCTGATCCCATTCCAACGTCAACTTTTGTGTGTGTGTCTGTGTCCGGGTACTGTCAGGTGTCATTAAACGTTAGAGCTCAGGTAGTTTATGTGAACCGCAGCAGCAGGGTGCACAGACCCTAAAATCATCTGCACAGAATTAAGTTTAGACGACTAACTATGTTTATGGAGAGCTTGGAGTTTTAGTTTGAAATCGCCTGTTACAGACATTTCAACAGACCATGTGATATTTAAAGCCATAAAAGCTGTCAAAATACACCGTTCAATTCAAAACTACTTTGTGTTAAGACTTTTGTCAGTGAACGATATTTATTTAGTGGTTATGACAAACATGCTCTTTTATTTTAAATAAAAGCCATTGAAAACATGTGCGTAGTTTGGCATCTATTATGGCTTAAAGACAGTGCAGCGTGGAGGATCAGGTCATGAACAATGACAACGCCTCACAAACAAACGCAAGCGCAATACAAATGTTAGCTCCTACAGTTCCTAGAAGCAGCCTAATTTATTAGTATCTAACACAAACACTCCCCTCACAGGGTTTGAACACCAAGGCTTTTTCATTTCCTTTTGCTGTAGGCTGAAAACATCTGGGTTGACATCAACTTATGCAGAGGAAACCAAACATTGCAGTTTTTATTTCCAGGTGTTTGCATCTGAATTGAACACACAACTCATAAAATAGCTTTATTTGTAACAGAACATTTTTAATCCGTCTCTTGCCATCATTGTAACAAACTTTGATTGGTTGACTGGACCAGACTTTGGCATTCTTATTTTGTGGTGCGTTCAGGCTCTTTCAGTCATTGTATTGGGGGTTACTTCCTTCACTCGGTCTCTGGGGGTGGTTGCTGATGTCACAAACAGCTGTTTTAGGGTTTTTCATCAAAGCGCTCACGGTGTTTCTGTCGTCAACTGCTGATGTTTTCTTTGGTCTTTCATTTGGAGTCTGTCACTGAGTCCACCAGTGGGTTCTTGCTTCTTCAGGAAGTTCCAAAAGGTTGGACTGGTTAAGTCCAGTGTTGTGCAATGGCTCTGATTGATTCTGTCTCCTCTTTCAGAGTCACACATGCTGGTTTTTCACCCACAGGCAGCTCTCTAGCTTTTATGGGGCGGCTGTGGCTGAGTGGTTAGAGCAGTCGTCCTCCACTGTGAGAGTTGGGGGTTCGAATCCAACAGCAGTCACATGTCGAAGTGTCCCTGGGCAAGACAGTGAACCCCTCATTGCCTCTGATGTGTGTCCCATCGGTGTCTGAATGTGATCTAAAGCTCTGATTAGTCTCTTTAGAATGATTTGTTCAGTTAGCTTTGTAGAGATCTAGTATAGAGCTGTATGAATGGGTGAATGAGACACAGATTGTTGTGAAGAGCTTTGAGTGTCTTGAAATAAGATAGAAAGGTGTTATATAAGTACAGTCCATTTTATCCCCTGAGAGCAGAGGGCTATTGGAAATACTCTTCGTCCATGCATCCGTCTGTCCACGCATGATGTGAGCATGAAAATTAAGAAAAAATTAAATTAAATTAAATACTGCCTTCCATTCTGGTGTGTGGCTACATCTAGGAGTAAAAAGGTCCTTATCAAAATTGGGTTGCCACGTTAAGATCCAAGATGGCTGCTGCCATACATCTGTCTGTCTTGTGACCTGGACAACTTGAAAAATAAGCAACGTGCCAACTTCCATCCTGGTGTGTGGCTACATCTAGGTGTAAGAACGCTTCCTATCAGAAACTGGGTTGCCAGAGCCACATCAAAATCCAAGATGGCTGCCCACCACCACCATATGTAAACCAGCCACCCCTATCATTTGAGGAAGCTAAGCTTTCTAGTTTTATATTACTTAACAATATAGTTTCTTCAAATGACTGGGGTGGCCAATGCCCCACCAGTGGTGGTGGCAAGGGGTGGCCAATGGTGGCCATTGCACCTGGTGGTGGATAAAATTGCTCCCTCCACTGGGCAGGATCTGTCACTCTGCGCTGTCTCGGACAGGAAAAATAAACCTTCTACACAGTGTAGCTCCTGCCACTTGAACATCTTGCGTCAGAATAATTTGGGTTAACTTACATTGTTCAATTTCGGTCCAGAAAAACACTCATCTTGAAAACTACAAACATTATCCCTCAGCGACGGGGGACGTTGGCGTACCGCTTGTTATTTTGGTTCCACTTCTAACGACTGCAAATGTTGTCTGCAAAGGCAAAACCCAAAGATGAAGCTGGCAGGACACTTATTGGTTGCATAATCAATGTAACAGAACGCACATGGACAGATGAACACACATTTCAGTCACAATACTTCTGCTCACATAAAAACTGGTTCTGTTACAAATACCAGTAATGCTATTTTCTGAGTCATGGATCTGATCCAGATGTAAACATGGAAATAAAAGCTGAAGCGTTGCTCTTTGGTTTCATTTTAGTCTTGTGCGGTCAAACCCAAATGATTTCAGTTTGCAATAAAACAGAAAGAAATTGGTCTCACTCTTCAAATACTTTGAGAGGGGAGTGTGTGTGTGTGTGTGTGTTTTCCATCCATCAGTGTGAGGTTTTAGAGCAGCCACTAAAAGTCCCAAGTCCAAAGCACAAGTCACTGCTCCTGGAAAGAGTTGCCTCTTTCACCCACTTCAGTTTAATGTGGGACTAATGCACCTTCGTTGTGTATTCTCTCTGTACAGATAAAGGGCAGAGCTGGAGGTCACAAGTCATTTGAGCTGCCGTTCTAACCAGTGAAGCTGATTCCATGATGCTGCTTCACTGGGTGTTAATATATTACTGGGAAGTCTCGGTTCGGTTTGTGGGAATTACAAAAAGGGAACAAAAGCAGCTTAAAGAGAACATCTTTTTCTGCCCATTTCTAGAAACCACTGAGTGGAGAGCCCAATAAATCCCCTTTAGTACAGTTCAGACCTTCTCTCGGTTATTGATCTACGCTGCAACAGTTTTTAAAATGGCTGTCTTGGTAGGACTCAACAGGACGTCAAGCAGTGAACAGTAGAAAGTCGATGTTGTTGGTTGTACTTCTGACAAAGCAAAACAGATCTGATAAACCCTGACGTAGAAATATGACTAAAGAATCTGGCCTCTTTAGCCCCCAGCCCTACTTTTACAATACGCATGTAAAAAAGGGCTTAAAGTACAGTTAGAACTGAAACGTGTTTATTCTTACCTGACAGAGCCGATCATGGTGCCTGAGCCTTCCCCAGCTCCTTGTGACTCTGAATGGTATCCATTAGGGATAGCCCAGCGTCCAGGCTGGCTCAACACAAATTCAGACCTGCTTCCTGTTATGGTTGTCCTTAACGGACTTCCTCCTGATCCAGCCACGGCCCCCGCTCCATGGAAAGGGCTCTGCCCAGCCGTAACGTCCCCATCTAGGGCATCAGGTCCAGCATCAGCCCCTTCTTGCTCCTGAACTGTTGCCAGTTCCAGCTCCAGTGGTTCGGGGCCTTGAAACAGCGCCCTCTGTTGGATGAGCGGTGTCAGGGGTGCCTCAAAGCTGACACAGCTGTCCGTCTCATCGGTGAGTGACAGCACGTCCAGAGAGTCCAGGCTGCTGTAACACGTGCCGCCCCTCAGCAGCGCCGACTCCACGATGCGCTCAAATGTGGAGCTAAAGCCGTCTTTGTTGTCCACCACCTTACTTTTCTCCTTCTCCTCCTCGGACTCTCGCTCCTCTTCGTCCTCGTCTTCCTGAGCATCAACCTGTTCCACGATCTGCTCGAACGCTGAGCTGAAACTGTCCTGGTTTCCTCGTTCATCTCCATCTCTCTGGGCCTCCTCCTCCTCCTCTTCGTCCTCCACCTCCGTGTTGGCTTGCTCTACGGTCGTCTCAAAGTTTGAGCTGAAAGTATCCAAATTTGCGTGTCCTTCTTCGTCTTCTCCTCCTTCATCCTCTCCATCAGCCTCATCGTCGTCATCATTTGCACTTATACCATTTGCCATTCTATAACAGCAAGAAGAAAAAGGACAAGAAGTTTTATGAAGACTCAAACACAGTTTCTTTGTTGCAAGTCACTCGTGCAAACCAGCAAATATGAGTTTAGCTTTGCAGAGAAAATATTTTGAACAGAGCAACCACCGGTCGCTTCATCTGAAGGTTTTTTTAATCTGCAGACCTTTAACTTGATCATTTCTAAACATCCAAAGAACTGTTTTTGGTTCCCTCAGCTCCTTTATGTTGTTGTCTTTTCAGCTCATTTGGCTGAGGGTTGTCGCCTCTCTGTTAGCAACTGTGAGTGAAGCACATGCTAAGTGCCAGGAAACCACACTGAGAAGAATCTGATGTCAACATAAAGCCACAATAAAAGCTCCAGCCCCATCTCTAAATAGCCAGTTAGAAAAAGGCAGAAAGCACAGTGCATGTCTTGACACATAGTAAAGTGATTTTTCCTCAGTTTGTTAATAATCTGTTCCCATGAGCTGTATATAGCAGTGTGTGTAACGGTACACTAACCGTCCGGGTTGTTGAGGGTTAGTTCGCTCCTCATCAGCAGATTCCTGCACGTCTTCATTACCCTTCCCTTCTTCTTCTTCTCCTTTTGTCTGTTGATGCTCCTCCTCTGTGCTTTCACTGTTTCCCATTTCACCCTCTCCTCCCTCATCCTTGACTCCTTCACTCTCCTCTCCCTCTCTGTGAGTCTCCTCCTGTACATCCTCCTCTCCTCCTTCGATCTGTTGTCCTTGTTTCTCCTCTGTATCACCCTTCTCTCGAGCTGCGTCGCTGTGTGTGTCTACTGGTGGTTCAGTGCTGGTTGGACTGGGCTCTGGTGGGTTTTCAGGTGGGGTGGGAGAGGGCAGAGCCTGCCCCTCCTGGGTCATGGTGCCCTTTGCAGAGGTGGAAGGGCGGGGCAGCTGTCCACTCCGAGTGGAGATGCAGACCAGCAGGACTTCAGATGAACAACCAGAGGGGCCACTATCGCAGGACAAGAGAGGAGACAAGTATCAGCTTCCATAACTCCATACCTTGTAATTATAAGATGTTTTACTGTAAAACCCTGGAAAGAAAGGGTCCCTTCAAGGAATGCTAGTGCTTTATTTATTTGTAGCTTCTAACTTTCACAGAGGTCACACAAATGGAGCAGCTGTGCCCCAGAGGAGCCCAAGAAAGCTGTGGGGAAAGGTCAGAGGACAGTAGCTACAGGAGCTATGAAAACAACGTTAACAAACCCTGCATCAACCTGAAGCCAGGATCCTTTTAGTCCATTGAACCCCAATCACTGCACAGCTCCGTGTTCTCACTGTGCTTTGTCACATCTTCACATATCTGTCTCCTAATCTAAATAGACTCAATCACTTCCAGAGGCATGTGTCTCTTTACGAGTAAACACTAATAACCAGCTCCCAGTGACACATCTGTAGTTATTTGGGACTTCATATCAGCTTTACCGTGTCGTTTTTTAATTTGCATAAATATCATGCTTTGGTTTCTTTTGTCTCTGATTTTGATCAGCTGTCTAAAAATCAAACCTTTGATAAACTAGCTCCGGTAAATGAATTATGTTTGATATTATAGCAATCATTTTGATTTGCAGCCAAGCCAGAGTGAAGCAGCCGTGTGTCCCAGCAGACTACAGCTGCTCCGCGGAGTCACCGGCAGTAACTGACGAGAAGCAGAGCTGCAGTGAAATATTTAGACATTTCAAGCTTTTCTGACGGCGCAACAAAGACCTCCTGAAGAAAGAAATCATTCTAAGCTCTCACAAGGGTTGTCTTGCATTTTTGTGTCAAAATGTGTTTGGGAGAAAAAAACTGTGCCAAGATAGAGGAAAGATTTCTGTAAGCCTTGAATGTGCATCATTTATGTTTCTCTGACTCTCCACAAGCTTTGACTCCCACCCCCGAACACGAGGACACCACGGGCCTGCTGAATGTTTCATCAGAGCTGCAAATTGATGACTCAAATTGTGCAGAACCCTGAATAATCAAACAAATTGCTCCCTCGCTTCATGCTCCCAGTTAAACAGGAACTTTTTCCATCCTCTGCCCATGTGTCATCATGCAAATGCAGAGTTCCCCAGCACTTTGAAAATGTCATAATTAGAGCAATCAAAGGCAAGAAAATGGGACCAGACGTCACTGACATCTTATATTTCAGTCTAAACGATTACAAGCTAAATGTTCAAATGGCAGTAAATTCAAGCATGAGTTGTGTGTTTTACACAAACACAGTATCTCCTCTCCTTGGCTGCTGCTGCTCTGATCTCTGAGGACTCTGGCAGATTGATCAACAATTCTTCCTGAATCCACCATCAGTGATCAGACTGCAGTCAGTCCTTCCCTGGGCAGACAACAGGCGTGTGTAGTCCAATAGCTGAATATCTTGCATCGAAAGCACCGCATGAAGTTTAATAACTGTATTTTGGTGCGATACGTTCATCCTAAAGTAATACATCTAAAAGTGTCTCTGGCCTAAATTATTCATGGATTAGTATCTGACTGTGTGGAAAAGCTGTTACGACCTGAGACTAACCCTAGCTCAGGACTGTTTCAGAGACAATCTGTAGGTCCAGACATGAACTGTGGTCAAGCAAAGACTCACAGTTTGCATTTATTTGAGCAGTTTCCCAAAGAGGAACGTGCTCATGTTGAAATGCAGTCGGACACACAGAAATGAATCTGCGACACGTGGCCATGAATGGAAACAGCCAACGGTTATGAAACCAGACAGGGTAAGTGGGAACTCTCTCTCTGTGTCTCCTGTGCCCTGTTTTTCCTCCCACTTTGTCCTCCTCATCTGTTTCACATTACGTTCTCTGCTTTCTCACAGTTTAACTCCACTTTCCCTCATCTCCAGCTCAGCCTCTCGTCCAGCTGTAATCGAGCTAAATGGGTCTTATCCGATACAGAGAAGAGGGCTCAGGAAGTGAAAGGCATTGTATGAATCAGGCTGCGGAGGACAGGGAGAGCAGCTGTGCTCAGACACCCTGCGTGGACGGAGGAGGAAGCAGCCAGGGATAGAAGGGTGCACGTGTTGGCAGGCTAGCTGTAAGACTGATGAGTGTGTGTCTGCCTCTTTGTGTATGTGCACAACGCCTGCAGGAAAGACTTCTACTGTCCATTCTACATTTGTTGGAGCTACACAGGGGCTCTTAAGCCTTATCACTTTCCTTTAATTGTGATCAGACGATCTGTCAATCATGTGGACAATACACTAAGACTGAACGTGCCTCACGAGATATAAAACCCACCAGTGGACTTAGAATGACGTTGGACAAAAGGCCGCATCAAATCATCATTTTCTGTCTCTTGTGTCTGTTAGACAGTATCTCCCTCAGTCCGTCTTTCTGCTCAAACACAAAGCCAAGAATAGACACGGACACACACCGTGCTCTAATTTATTGATCTCGGAGATGCAGCGCTGCAGTCCACAGGGAATCACCTCTGATAAGCACGGCTGGTCTCCGCTGGCAGCAAAGATGCAGCACGACTCAAGCAACGAGCCTGGAAGCCTTGAGATGATAAGAAAACAAGAACGCTTGGATCTCAGTGGGAAATGAAGCCCACTGAGAGGTGCTGCAGGTCTGCTGCTGCTCCACTCTGCTGCTCAATGCTGACTGAAGTCAGAAAATGATCTTCTGACAATTTGTTTTACCTTCTCATGAAGAAGGCACGCATCATAGCGTCCTGATGCGTGCTCAGTATCACAGCCAGCAGACGTTAAAGAACAGCAACAAAAGGAGTTCCTTGAGGTGCACCTGGCAGGCCAAAGATGGAAACAAAGATTGTGTGCAACCTGTTACTACTACAAAAATGTGAGGGAGGTAACGCTCAGATGTGTTTGATAAGTCGATTAGCTGAGGCAGCCATTTTGAATATGTTAGATTTAACTGATTGTAGATGTACACCCAACGATACGTTTCTGAAAGTTTCATTACAATTTGTCAAGATGAAAAACAACGAGGGTGGCACGGTGGATCAGCTGGTACAGCTGTTGTCTCTTAGCAAGAAGGTTGCTGGATTGAATCCCAGTCAGGGGCCTTTCTGGGTGGAGTTTGCATGTTTTCTCCAGTTACTCCAGTTTCCTCCCACAGACCAAAAACATGCACATTAGACTGACTGATAACTCTAAAGTGTCTCTAGGTGAGAGAGAGAATGGTTGTTTGACTCGTTTGTCTCTGTGATGGACTGGAGACATGTCCAGGGTGTCCTCCACCTCTCACACAGTGACTGGATATGGGTACCAGTGAGCCTCGTGACCCAAAAAGGAAGAAGGTAAAAGATGATGGATGGATGGATGGACGGACGGACGGACGGATGGATGGACGGATGGATGGACGGACGGACGGATGGATGATGGATGGATGGATGGATGGACGGACGGATGGATGATGGATGGAAGGTGAAATATCTTGGTTGTGTCTTCATTTCTTATTTTATAGTTTAAACACAGAACAGTTCCATCAAAAGGAATTACTGACACATAAAATACAGATTCGTGTGATGAAAGTTCCTCCTTTTTAAACCAGTTTTGAACATTTAGACTGAGAAACAACAGATTTGTAGCTGTTTTGGTCCAAACTTGAAAAGGTTCTGTACAAAACCTTGCATCGTCTCTTAGCTGTCGGAGCGTGTGATGGAGATGATACTCATCTACTACACATCAAATTATAGTGCAATATTTGTCAAATTAATGGTTATAGACTAATATTAATTAATATTCATCCCTTGATTTATGAGACATTTTGCTAAAACACAGGTAAACAATCAAAAACGTTATTACCCACCTTTCGGTCATGATAAATACAGAAACAACTGAGCTATTTTTGAGCCTTTAAGCAGCACATTGTTGATGTGAGGTTGAACAGCAGCCAGATTATATTGACTGCGAGGTGACTTGGAAAGGATTATCCTGGATTCTCTGTGAGTTTAACAACTGACAGGGTGAAGAACCGAGGAACAAAATCTGACTGCAGCTTTTCTCACAAAATATCATACGAATATTGCAACATTAGGCAAATGATTTTAGCCTCTACGTTTTTATTTTAGAATATTATGTTTTGCTCTATAAACACCTAATCTTCTTAATCCTTAATTCCTGTCTGTCCGTCCATCCATCCATCCATCCATACATCCATCCATCCATCCATCCATCTGATTTATAGAACAGACCTCACCTGTGCTGGTCAGGACTGCAGCACCTTCCCTGTGCTTCAGTACTAAACCAGGCCACTGTTTTACCACTTTATCCTGTATGACCTCATTACAGTCCCAGTGCTGCCTGCAGACATTTTACAGTTTGTCTCAGTCGATTTTGTGCATTTCTCAAAACAGTTAGTACAAACTGAACCAATGACTTGGTGGTGTCCCTGAAAAGGACGTCAAGGCTCTTCTACCTCCTCCATGTACAGGTTGGCAACAATAGGAGAAACTGGAGACCCCATAGCACACCCATTGGTTCAGGTATGTTGACGACACCTGGGTTAAAATCAAATCTCAGGAAGTCCAACATTTTACTGACCACATCAACTCTGTGGATAAATACATCAAGTTCACACGAGAAGATGTAAAAAATGGCAGGTTGGCTTTCTTGGACTGTGAGGTCTCAGTCTCTGATAGAGGACATTTACAAACCGAGGTGTACCGCAAACCCACCCACACAGACCAGTATTTGCAGTTTGACTCCCATCACCCTTTGGAGCACAAGTTAGGAGTCATCAGGACTCTGTACCACAGAGCAGACAGCGTCCCCACTAGCTCAGGAGCCAGGCAGAAGGAGAAATCCCACACAAGACAGGCTCTAGAGCAATGTGGATATCCTAACTGTGTCATAGCTCTGCTCTCTGTCAGCTCCTCTGTCATGCTGCACACTC